TGCAAAATAAATGTTAGTATTGAAGCTGCTTTTTCTGATGGAAGCCAAAGTTTGTGGCCACTACTGTTGCATTGTAATCTCTCTTTCACTTGCCGTGAATGGGGTGGACTCTGGAATGTCTGTTCAGATGTCAGGATTAGTTGCCTTCTGAATACTTCATGGTGCTTTCTGGAAATCCAACATAGCTCAAAGATTTGTAGAGCCTATACTTCACGAGGAACGAGCATCAACTGTTGCAATAATGCTGTATATATGCAATGGTAAAGCTTGAAGGTGTTGAAGCTGTCCCTTTGCTTTGTTGGAGTTTTCAGCTACTGACACCATTGGCATTAGTGAGCTGACTTAAAAAAAAAAAGTTGTTTCTAATGAAAGATGTAGAACATTTTCTGTTTAAAACACTTGAGAGAAGTCTTTTTAATTTTCTAGCATAATGTAGAAATTTGGGAGGAATGTAATCAGCATTCTGACTATCCCTGCCTGGTTTTGAACTTTGAAAGTAAAGAAATCTCCTGAAAATCCCAGATGCCACAGCACTGGCTTGTTACTAACTTCTACACCTTTGATTCAACGTTCAGTTTAGGGGCAGTTCCTCCAGCATGTTGTTTAGGTTATTCAAATCCTGATCTTCATGCAGTGGACTTCTGGGTCCCTGTGCTTACAGATCAGACCTACTTTTCTAAAAATCGTTTTGTTAAAACCACTGTCAGGGGATATATTGATTTTTGTGTCTATTTTGGTAACATTTCATATTTTAGTTTCCTTCATTTACACAAACTTCAGTGTTTCATGGGTAGGAAGTAAGCTATGAGTGGAACATGGGTTGAGACCTTTGTGCAGGGCATTGCTGTTAAAATCGAGAACGAAAGAGGAAACAACTAACAACCATATAGTTCATTATGTTCTTTAAGAAAAAAGTGAAGGCATTTGTTTTTGGAAAGAGTCTGTAATACTGTCTCAAAAATTTCCAAGAACTTGGCAAATTTGTTTACCTTTTATTTTGAAAGAAACTGCAGGAGACGACCTGGACTTTCAAAAAAAGTGCCAAAAGATATGATTTCCAGAATTACTTTCACTTTTGACCCTGTACTGCTGTTAAATAGCTGTTAAAAGGGATGCTGCTGTGGGTGAGGAAGGACCTGTAAGCCCAGTTCATGGTCTTCTGATCGTGATCTCCCATATACGCAGGTGCTGCTTCTGGCTGTGGAACGTGGCTTTGGACCACATCTTCAGTTACTTACGATGCAGTGGGGATTTGAATGGTGGAGAATGCTGCCCATGTCCTGATTCTTTCCTCAAATTAACTTGTGATTTGTCATGATGGCAGCAGCCCAGACTGTTAATGTGTGCCAACGGGCTTACATAGCTGTGAGCCTCTGACTTTTGTACAGAGAGCAGTAACAGTGTAAAGCTCAGTCTCATGATTATGAGGATGTTTTTCAGAATAATACGGAGTCTCATTTGAAAAGAAAAGACCTTCTTTCCCCCGCTGCACCACAGCCATCTTGTCGTGTATGAAACCCATGATGAAGGCAGTTTAGTATGGTGCTCAGAGCGCCTACCTTCATAGTGCTCAACTTCATAGCCAATGCTCATCTTCTCTCAGTTTCAGACAGCCAGGTCCTTATGACAGCATATTCCTGTCTCATGTTTCTTGCTATTGTAGGCCCAGGGCCAACACGGCTCGACATCTAGATACTGCTGGCCAGTGCAAGTAAACAGCTTGTCACCAATGACAGCCACCTTCCAAGATGCGAAGGACTACATGGATTAGGGGTTAATCTTGGTGCCCATAAGATTTTCTGCTTGCTTTACAAGTGAATACTGAGTTTAAAAGACATTTAGTTAAAGACAGACATATCACTCAAGTTTGCTGGAAGCATGAGTTAATAACTCGTCTAGCAACTTGTCTGATCTTCATGTCGGAGAAGTTGGGTGGAAGAGCAGCTGTAACCTCCTCTGCAGCAGCAGTGGGAATTACCTTACTTTAGTCAGCCTTGTCGTTGTTCTCAAGCAGGTCTGCAAAACTTGCTTCAGAGAAATTTGATTCAGGGTTTTCCTCAGTGCACACGAGTACAGCAGTCGTAGAAGATGGCTTCCAAGGAAATTCCTTTCCTCTTGCTACATAGTGTGTGTCACCGAGTAATGAACAGGCAAGGGCTTTGTGCTGCCTTTCCCCCTGACATGTGGCAACCAACACACTAGCCCTTGAAAGGAAGCTCTTAGTTATTATATTCATTTGTGATTATATCCAGTAACAGCTGTACTTCTCAGTGGAAAATAGTGATGTCTTCTGAGCCTTAATACTCATTGAAAACAGGCCACAGGTGCTTAACTGCTAAATTTTTGAATAAATGCATTGTCTTTCCTCCTCCTAATTTCTAAGACTTTATAATATGCTTAGAAAACAACTAAATGATCTAGAATGACTTCTGGTCAGAGTGGGATTCTCTTTACTTCCTGATGTAGGGAATTATAGAGGATACCAAATACCAGAAGTTGGCAGCATTGTGTTTAGTTTCTCCCCGCTTTGGTCTGTCACTTATATTTCAGCAGAAGCCTCGTGTGTACCTTTCCTCTTTACTGCCCATCAGTTTTTCCCTGCTCAGGTGCTCCTAGCTCTCAAGTCCTCTGTTTTCCATTGAATTAATCTTATCTCCTAGTTTCTGGTTCAGTGTATTTCACTGCTCTCTCGTTATGATTTTTTTCCTTTCTTCCGTTCTCTCTTATTCCCCGGTTGCTCCACCTTTTCCAGGGGCTGGCCCACGCCAGCAGCCGCTGTCTGGAGGCATGTGGCATGGGACCCTGCCCAACGCCCTCCAGCCCTTGCTCCCCGTGGACCTTCAGCCCTGGCTGCTGGAATCCGTACTCCCTCTATCCCAATCTGCAACAAGCTCAGTGTTCAATTATTGCCAATTATTCTTCCAGTTTGTCCTTCCTGAAGGTGGTTTTTTTAATTTTTAAAGACTTATTACATCTGAGATAACTCCCCCCTTGTACAGTGAGTTAACATTACATGCACAGTAATTAAAAACACATCATAATGTGTTGTTTTAACAGATTTCTGTCAAAGCCTTGAATCTTAACTATTTTAGGTAATACTTCGTATCATCAACTATACGAAAAGCAATGAAAAATGCATACTAAATTATCTTCTAAAATAAATGCAGGATAATCATTTCAGTGGAAAAGAGCATCTGACCGTTTCAGGCATAAAGCTAGTCCATTCCCATCGCATTCAGTAGCAGGTTTTCTGAGATGAGGACAGTATCTTTTGCTGGATGCCTAGAGGTTGTAGGCACATTCCCTTTCCAAGTGGAACATTTGATTGAAATGCAGGTGTGTCAGAGGTGTAAAAGACTGATACACTGGAAACAGCAAACAGGAAGGATTTTTATAGCGTTGTATAATGAGAGTATGCCAAAAAACATCATCAAACTTCTGTACGCAAGCAAAGCACTCCTACTAATTGTCCTGTTTAGAAAGAAAATATTACATTTAAGATTCGAGTGAGTTGAGAAAGTAATGACAGCCACTCTCCCCAGCTCCTCATTTCTGTGACCGAACTTTAAAAGCTTGCTTATATAGGTCACTTTAGGTTTGTTTATGTATGGCTTTCTCTGAGAGATGGAGAGAGCAGTATCAAGCGCTCAGTGTTAGGTTTCTCTCCTGTGTAAGGTGTAGTTGTCGAACTACGGTGCTCTGAGGGTGGCTCATTTTGCCATTTTTAAAATGAAATGACAAGTTTTTAACGTGTGGATCAGATTTTGAAAATCAGAGGTAAATGACTTCCCATGTTGGTTTTTTTTCTTCCTCAGATTCGTTACATTTCACAGACTCAAGGTTTGCCAGGAGAGCAGTTGTTAAGCATGGGAACGAAAACTGCAAGATTTTTCTGTAGAGAAACGGATGCACCATATTCTAGTTGGAGATTAAAGGTAAACAGTATAATATAGTAGAAAACAGTATAAAATCTATTTGTAACCAGAGAAGCCAGGGGGGCCAAGGTTCACTATGATATTGTTAGCTCCCTTCCACATCTCCTGTGATTTTTATCAGTCCCTGCTCTGTATCCCTTCCATTTTTCCCATTCCCCAAAACCAGCGCTCCGAGCTCATGCCCACGTTTTCTCCCCGCCGGCTGGCCCAGAGGCAGGGCTGGGGGAGCCCGCCCGCCGGGGGGGCCCGGCACCGGGGCCCCCCGTTTCCCCCCCGCCGGCGGGCCCGGGGGCGGGTCTGGTGCAGCCGCCACGCTGGGTGGCCAGTGCACGGGTGCCAGGTTGAGAGAGAGCATTGAATTCAGATTAAGCCTTGTATCTCCAGAGGTACTAAATGAGGTTTTTTTTCTCTTACTCAGTCACTGCTTTTCACTTCGCTTTGAATAATTTGTCTCTGGGGCCCAAACTGCTCTGTCAAAATTTGTTCAAAACTGGCTTCAGGACCAGAAGTTCCTAGGAGAAAGGGGATTAAGAAACAACATGACTGTGTACAGCTCATTTCCTTCAGATCTCATGCTAAAACAGTCTTTGTCGGCTGAAAGTTGCAATACAATAAAAGCAGATGAAATTAAAAAAATGTACTTTTACGGTCTGCACGCCTTCTCTCTAAGCAGCACTATTGCACACTGGCCCTAAGCAGAGCTTTAACTTCCTATGCAATTTTTTTTTTTTTTTTTTTTAAATTGTACTACTTCATTCTGCTGCTTCACCAAATTCACGGAGGACTCGAGGAGTCAGGGAACAGTTACAGTTGACATAAAACTTCTGCAATAACAAACAGCTGACGAGCTCAAAATGCAAGTTGCGTAATAACTCTCCTCAGCAACTTGGTAAATCCCTGGCGCGCGTTGGGCCGAGCGGCCTGGGCCGGTGCTGCCCTGCCGTAACGCTGCCGGGTCGGGTTATGTAAGAATTCTCCCATTACACCGTCCTGATTATTCCAGTTTTCTGGTTTTTTGAGCGGTTGATAATTAGGTGACAGTTTACATCTGGCTTCTCCGTATCGGAGAACCTAAATGAGTTCTTGATGCAAACAGCCCTCCCCATTTTCAGAAGCTGTTACCTTTCAGAGGTTAAATCTCTCACAGCAGACTAAATGCTGTTTTGGGGGAAGAAAGGAGTTTTGGTATGGACCATTGGTCATTACTCACAGGTTTTGTCAAAGTTAATTTTGGAAACTTTTCTCTACTCTCTACGTTAAAAAAAATTTTTCCCTGCAGTCCTGCCTTGCCTCCTGCAACATGGACTCTTAAAACAAAACCTGCCTCCTGGTGCTGTCTGTGTTGAAGGAGGAAAATTGTAACAGAAGGTGGTATTCCAGCTCGTAAATCACTGATAGGTGATCGCATTCATTCTCTGGGATTTGTTTTTCATGCTTCTGTGTTTAAAATGCTTACACCAGCTGTTGTGTATGCAAAGGAATAAAAGTATAAAAATAACAAAAGAAAAGAGAAAGCAAAGAGAAATTGAACAGAACCTGCCTGGGTTTTGTTTCATTTTTTTACAGTGATATGATGTTGCTGCTGTTTGGAGTTAAAAGTCTTGAGCTTGAGGAAATGTATAAAATACAAGTAATAGAAAACCTGTGATATACAAAAATATGCGCACACAAGAGAGGTTCATTAAACAGTGTTTTGCTAGGCTTTCAGCACTTCCTGTGCGATTTAGAAACCATCTGTTGTAATCCAATACTACGATCACTCAGACGTGAAATTCAGTAGTTTTTGTATTTCAATTTAGAAAATGAAAGCAGTCAGCAAAGCAGCATACAAATATACAATTGAAATATTAATTATTTTTTTAAAAAACATGTTTATTAGGCCAATAAATACATAAAGTTACTTTGTAGCTATAAGTGTCCTTTATTGTCAACTTCTAAACTGCGCTTTCCTTTTCTTTTTTGAGACATTGGAAGAGCACGAGGCAGAGACAGGTATGAAGTCTAAAGAGGCCAGAAAGTATATTTTCAACAGTTTGGATGATATAGTGCATGTGAGTATGAACGCATTCTTCCTTTGCAAAAGGAATGTGTGATTTTTTAAAACATTTTACTAGTTTGAAATAAACACCTTTTAGAATATTATTTATTGTATATCAGTCATATCCATTATTGTCTGTATATGTTGCTCTGAGGAAAATGTCTAGCTATGTCAGTCCTTTGGGCTTTTTATAAAGATCTTCCTTTGCCATTGCTTGTGTTAAACAATGGTACTTGTCCTTGTGGTGGTGGGGAACCCTTTAATTTTATGTATAATGTGTACTCTCTCTTCTACCTTATCTGCCATTCTGGGTAAAAAAAGAATGCATATGGATCCTGCTATCTTAACTATATAATTTCCACTATAATTCTGCTTTTTTAACAATATAATTCTCTATATAATTATGTTTTTCCTTTAAAAAAAAAAAACAAACACGTTTCCACACTTTTCTTTAGCTTTATAACTCTCTAGTCAATAACAAAAGGAAATTTTTCATTCTCTTCCATATCCTGAAAAGAGAGTTAAATCTTTTTGCAAGATCGGCATTAATACATGGTTGAAATTCTTTTTTGAAGACTACCTCTGTAGTTTAAGTTAGACCATATAAAGATCTTTATCCCACACCTTTTTAAATTCCGAGTCCCAGTCTGGAATAAAGCCTTCAGGGGTTTTTAGCTGGGGAGGGTGCAAGGGGAGTAGTGTGTGTGCAGAAAAAAGTCACCAATTGCAAGCCAACCGTACTGGGATAAGCTAGCAAATTCACCGTGCCCTACATGATAAAATCATTGAATATTAGTATTTTATAGCAGAAAGCAACAACAGGAATAGTTAAACCAATATTCATGTCTTCTATGTGACTGTTTTGTTCAACACCAGGTGAACATGGTGATGGATTTGGAAGGAAGTGACCTGTTGGCAGAGAAGGCAGATAGGAGGGAATTTGTCAGTCTGTTGAAGAAAATGTTGCTGATCGACGCTGATTTAAGAATCACTCCAGCTGAGACCCTGAACCATTCTTTTGTTACCATGAAGCACCTCCTCGATTTTCCTCATAGCAACCAGTATGTAACACACACAAATTATTTCTTTAAATCTCCGTTGTAGTAATTCATGTGTATAATAGTGTTGTTTCATCTGCTATCGGAGAGAAAAATCTTTTGTCATTTTTGTAACGTCTTAGAGAATTCTTTCAAGTGATCGCAATATTAGACACATCTACTTGGTCAAGGAAGCTGTTTGAATAACTGTGGGGTTTTTTTCTGAAAAGTAACATTTAGAGCAATAAATTTCTAAGTTATCATTTATATGCCTGGTTGATAAAATTCCAACACTGCAGAAACTTGGGCTTGATTTTTGGAAGTGTGAAGAGCCTTAGTTCCTGTCAGTCATTGAGAGCTAGGGTAGGCATTTTCTCTTGAGAGTAACGTCTCAGATACCTTCTTTTATGCATTGGTTAATATCGAATGCATTGGAAGTTTTCTTGCAGTTCTGGAATTGTGAGTTTCACTGTGGATTTCCTAATGTGCAAGCATTTCACTGAAAGAAAGAGCTTTCCATCCATTTAGTTTACTATCCTTCCTAGTTTTACACTGTTGTTAGAAAATGGTGTTAGATACAAGGAGCAGGAAATAGCAGTATTTTTCTTGATTTTAAAATATGCATTACAAAGGCTTGACATGAACGTAGTAATAGCAGTATTTCTTTTTTCTGCTTCCGTGTATGATGCCATTCTGTGAAACTGGGAACTCTGGGCTTTGAACTATGTTGGGGGGTGGTGGTGTTTGGTTTTTTTTTTCCTTCTTCTGGGGAATTTGTTTATACATTTAACAACATGAAATTCTAATTAAAGCAACTTATTTTCTGATTTTAACAGAGTGAAGTCCTGTTTTCATATCATGGATGTTTGCAAATGCAGATCAAATTTGTATGACTTAAGTAATCGCAATAAAACATCACTTATGAGACCAGTTGCCTCAGGCAGTGCAGCTAATCTGACTGCGAGCTTTACCAAAATTGGTCCAGTAAGAAGTCAGGTAAAAACGTGGGTTGTTTTGTTTTTTTTTTTTTATTTTAAATTATAAATTCCCTTAATGCAGTTTTTCTAATTAATTTCATAATTGAAAAAGTACATCTAGTACGTGACAAAATCTTCTGTCTTTCCCTCTCATTTTTTCCTAATGTTTTCTTAAGCAAACAAAGAAACCAATTAGAATTCAGTATGTTTCAAAATTAAGTTAGAAACTGGTGTTGCCATAGCAAAGCAGTGCTGTATTGTAGTGCCCTCCGGTGGCCAAACGGGATTGCTTCCTGTGAAATGATGTGAAAGTTTAATTTTTAGAAGTTATTTTAGTTGTTTATGATATAAGCTGGTGGGACAAGTGTGTGAGAGATTTACCTTCACAGTTATAATGTTGCCTGTACTGAATCTGTTCCCGTAGGCATTAACTGCATCTGCCCATTCAGTTTTGCACCAAGGGATACCACTGCAGGCAGGAACTGCTCAGTTTGGTTGCAGTGATGTTTTCCAACAGGCATTGATTATATGTCCTCCAACTATTCAAGGTATGTTTAACCGTAATTGTTACGGTTCCTGAAATACGAGAGTTACTGTCTGTCTGTTAGCAGTATTTGAGTTTTCCATTATATCCACTTAAGCTATATAGTTAAAAGAAGTTAATTGTGTCATAAAAAAATTAGCATGTGAGTCAGATCCACATACATTGCACCTTTCTGAAAGAAATACCAAATCAACATTTGCAGAAAATCCAGAGCCCATCTTCATATACCACACACACATACATACGTGTATATGTATGCATATATATATAGGATAAAATAGAGGGACACAATGTGGAAGCTGAAGCAAGAAAGGAGGGTATTCTGAAATAAAACTTGAGAGGAGACAAGAAAGATGAGGGGAATATCAGTGTTGTGGTGGGTTTTTTTGTTTCTTTTCTGGTGGTGTTGTGTGTTGGGGTTTTTTTGTTTGTTGGTTTGGTTGTGGTGGTTTGCTTGTTATTTTTTTGTTTGGTTGGGGTTATTTTGTTTTGTTGTTTTGTTTGGGTTTTTTTCCCAACTATATCCCTAGGGTATCCTAGGGATAAGGATAAGAAAATATAACAGTTCTTGTGACAAATCTGCTTGCATAATAAAGTTGGGTCTTTTTATTGGACTTCCAAGTGAATGTTTAAGAAAACATCTGGAAACTTGGAGCTTCATTTAAGGATGTAGCTGCCTTATGTAAACAGTGTCACGTTTACTGTCTTGTGGTTATAATGCTAGATAGAACTGCTGCAGCTTTCTGATGGCTGAAAAAGCACATAACTAAATCTTTGAGAATGTTGATCGCATCATGTTGTGAGGAGGAAGGGGCAGCTTGGCTGAACTCTCCTGTATTACAAAGGATAAGATTGTTTTAAGCATCCAATTTTATATTTATGGAAAGAAATAATTGGCTGAGGGTTCAATTGTCAGAAACATTTGGAAGACTGCGAGGTGGAAATGCTAGCACAGAAGTATTTCCGCAGTGTAGAAAATGACCAAATAAGCATATGCATCTCTAGGACACATGGTAATGCAGTTAACCTCTGTTTCCCTAAACAAATGCATTTGCATCATGCAAACGTAGGTCTTTTTTGAAGGAGTCTTTAAAACCTCGTTTAGATCTCAGAACATATCAAGCAAAACTTGTTTTTTCTGTTTATAGTGGGCTGATCAGAGAGGAGCTGATGAAACAGCCTTTCTTATCCTAGTAATACTCATTTATGGAGAGGGAAAGGTAGTTTATATTGTTTGCTTATTAAGTTAGCTTGATTATAGTCTTCATCTCCAAAGATGCAATTTATTTGTCTTGGTGATGGTTCGGCTTTATGTTGAGATCAGATCTTGAAATGATGGAGTTTATAGGAAGTAGTTTGTTTGGTTTTTTTTCAGAATGACTTTCAAACTCCTCATTTCTCTGCAGTTTGAAGTTCTAGAAATCACACTAGATTCACTCTGAAAAAAATCCCACAACACTTTTAACCTAAACTTAGAGCCCAGGAAGTCTTTCTCTCTTTAGATAAAGACAGATAGGGCAGACTTTGTCAGTAACGTTATTTGTGGCTGCATCTATCTTGACTTCCAGAAACTCATGAAAGCTCCGAGTATTCACCGTGCAGAGTGTCAGAGGCTGTATGAGCTAAATGCATAGCTTCATACAGATTTCCTTCTGAGCACTTAGTATGGCTAAATAATTTCTTATTTAAATTGTATATATGCTTTGCACAATGACATATTCCATAATTTAAAAACCCTACTGTTTTCATTATACCCAGATGAATAAAGTGATTATAGAAAAGGAAACAGTACAGGCAAATACTTTATCTGTGATCTGTATAGTGTATTCTTAGTATGATGATAAATTTCCAAATTAAATTCTGCTACAGCTTGAATGAAGGGAATATAGTGTTTTCATCACATAGGTGACAAGTTGAGTTGCTGGCACGGAGGGAAAGGGATATTAATGGTGTCTGGCACTGCTTCAAGGTTTCCCCGCTTGGCTGCTCTGTCAAATATCTGAAGTGCTAAAGCTGGCTACTTCTGGCAGAGTTAAGACGTTGCTGTTCTAGATGGCTGTGTGGAAAAAATTAGTCAACAGCGTTTCAAAATTAAAAGCTTTGGACTGCATAGTTATAACTTAGTATTGTGTTATGATATGAGAGAACTACATCAGATGAAGATTTTCTTTCATCCTTTACTGTAAAGATTTAAAAAACAAACAAACAAACAAACAAACCAAAAAACAATCAACCACTTTTAATCTTTAGTTTAGTAGTTCTTTAGTAGTTACCTCCGAACACCCATTGCTTAGTCTTTGACTAATGCACAAGACACAAAGTGCAGTTAGAAGATGAAATCAGTACATTTGCCTAGCCGGTATTTTCTTCTAGCATAGCTGTTCTGTTGCAATATCTGTTGAAAAAAATTCATTTTAGTTTAACATTATAATGTCAAAAATTATTATTAGTAGTAAACATTGCAGCATTGCTATACATCTGTTGGTTTCCTCTGACAATAATGAAATCTATACAGAGCATGAGATGCATCTTTTTCCTATTATGCTCTTGTGGAAATATTCCAACAGTGCTACGGTTTGCATTATTTTGATAAAGGGAAGAATAAGACTATGTATTCTACTGCAAATACTTGATGGCATAGACAGAAAATTTTACATTGTTTCCCACGAAAGAGTTGGTAACAAATAGGGGCATTATACATGTGGTGTTGCCAGCTATAAGAGCGAAGGGGAATGGGTTTCAGCTAGCTAGAAATACAGAGCATGAGATGTGCAGGAATCGGCTGTGAGAAGCTTTGAAATTCAGTTCTGCTTACTTTTGTCTGCTTCCTTTCAAATCTTTTAATGTAATTTGTGATAAAGAGTAAAATGCTTAGCTTTGCAGAACTTTCTGCCAAAGTCGTTCCGCTTTCTAGCAGTCTGTTTCCGAATAGTAGCTATTGGCAGTTCTTTCTGGAAATTACAGCATCAAATATTTGTGCAGATACGTAATGGCACAAAAATCTTTTAGACGTTGACTTATTTGGTTTGAAAGTCTAAATTATGGAATTAATTCATAAACACATCAAGAAAAAAAATAGTAAAATGTTGTAAAGTTATCCTTTATGTTTGCATTCTGCTCAGAAAATATATGCAAGACTGGTGTTTTGCTTAAAGCTCGAGTATGTGTTTTTCTCCCTGATAGGAATTCCTACAAACCATAGCAAACCCACCAGTTTCTCCCTGAGGGTGGATAATGCAGTTCCGCTGGTGACCCAAGCCCACGCGATTCAGCCACTACAGATTCGAGCAGGAATCCTTTCTCAGGTTGGATTACTTTAAAGTAAAACTCTTGTTTTATTATTGGTTGGTGAATATTTGTGCCCTGTAGAGTTCTGTTGCAGTCCCTCTTCTGTTTTGTGCTGAACTACAAGCAGCTAATGTGAATTCCGTTGTTCTTTGCATCATGAAATCTGCTCTGCTTCACAACAGACGTGGTCGAATCAGACCCAGCAAATACTGGTTCCTGCATGGCAGCAAGTAGCGCCAGTGGCAGCTCCTGCTACATCTCTGGCCTCTGATCCTGTGGCTGGCCCACAGAGGCTTGGAGACTGGGGGTAAGTCCACGTATTTTTGTGCAATACCTTAATGGCTTTGGTTTAACACGATCTACGGGTGCAATGCAGATGACTTGCAATTTAAAACTTCCTTTATTTTTCCTCAGGAAGATGATTACCCAGGGCACCCATTACAATTCAATGATACCGCAGCCTCTTTTAACACATCAGATAACCTTGTCTGCCCCTCAGCCAATTAGCGTGGGCATTGCACACGTTGTCTGGCCTCAGCCTGCAGCCACCAAGAGGAACAAACTCTGTCAGAACAGGTTGGTAGAATATTTCTAACATTCAGCGATAGTGTATCTGTAGTTGCTGTTCAGTGGGCAGGGGAATAGCCTGTAAAAGTGGCACGTTTGTTAGTGACAGTTGTACTTAAATGGCCTTCTGGGAGAATTTGTTCTTCTTGCCCTAAGTTTTTAGTGTTATTTTGGTAATACAGACTAGATGAAAAAATACTTGCAATAGTAAGAGATTTTAGTTCCTGATTAGTATGTGCCTATCATGATAGCAAAGTTGTCTTTATAGTCTTTGGGAAGGTATAAGAATATATTGAGGTAGCTCTAATGAGATATTCCTAAGCTTATGTGTGTGAGGATGTATCAGCTTTAGACAACTAAAAATAAAGAGATACTATATAACAGGGTTGCAGTATGCCTTACAATTGTTTTAAGAATAGTCTGTCTTTCACTGGTGGCCAGAAATACTTTAGCTGCTTGCTGAAGAAAATACGCCCCACTGCCATACAAAGTATTTGCAAAGGTGTTGGATGCTCAATAAAGGGGAAAGCATGGCAGAGGGCAATTTCAACAGTCTTGTTTTAAGCAAGGATTTCATCCAGAGGCCACCAGCTGTTGTTTTCAGGGAGAATCTTTGCAGGAAATCTGGGCAGGTTTTGTTTGCTTGTTTTTCACCCAAATGGGATTTTAGTTTCTGGTTTTGTTTATAAGAAAATGGGATTTTCAATGTATTGTATTCAATGTTGTTGCAAATTTCGGTCTTAGATATTACTTAGTTTGGACGAGGCAACGTAGCTTCTTATTAGCGTGTTTCTGGTTTTTTTTTATTAATTTCTCACATCATATATGCCAAGTATTTATGACTGTTTTTCCAGTTTTATGCCTTTTTTTTATTATTTTAGAAAATTGGTGTTTTAGCTTACATTGCTGTGTTTCTTTTTGTTGAAAATAGTACAGTTTTCTGGTCTGTTGGTAGAAATTCACTAAATGTCAAATGGTGTGCTTTCTTTGCAGGAGCAATGTGTTACAAAATACCAATATCCAAAATTCAGCCTTTATATCTCCAAAGATACTTAACCTGAAGGCTGTAAAGAGAATAAGTTGTATAGAAGCACAGGACAATCATAACGTGGAAGGACAGGAAAGTAACTGTTGTGACGCATCGATCAGGCTGGACCCTGATTCATCTCTTTCAACCAAACAGCGCCAGGCTATCTTCATTGCCGGTTCCCCCAGCCCAGCAGTCAGCGTGATCACCATCAGCAGTGACACAGATGAAGATGACATAGGACGAACACATTCACTGAGAGAGTAAGAATTGATGTTTACTTTTATTAAGGTGTTACCTAAATATAGCTGTCTTAGCATAGCTACTGTAAATGAATCTGAGTTAGAAGATGATGAACAATGCACTTTAATCAAATTTCACTCAGAAGTTAACTCTGTAACCGTATATTATTTGAAAGTGAAAAATACTTTCAAAAGTCTACCTCATTAATCTATGTAAGTTAGGCATTTGCAACAGGAAACAAATATTTTATTATTCTTCTGTAACAGAGTTGGTCAAAACAGAATACTTTTAGGTCCAGCGTACTTTTTTTTTTTTTTTTTTTTTTTTTTTTTTTTTTTTTTTTTTTTTTTTTTTTTTTTTTGCTTAATACTGTCATAACCTATTTATTTGTTGAAGATCACTCTTCTGGCTTTGTATAATCAATGTTATCATTCTAGCAGTAGCATCCAGTAGATAACATTACATACATACGGGTAAAAAATACTTCTCTAACAGTATGAAAAGGTAAAGGGTGTAAAAGCAGATGCTGAGTGTGGTCCCTCAAAGGAGTTTTCTTTCACAAAGCTATTGAAGAAGCATGTACTGTTTTAAATGAGGGCTTGAAAGTTTAATGTTTGTTTGACTTTATTTTTACTTGTCATGATTCTGAACTGGAGGAAGTTGTATTTTAAATCTAAACCTTGTCAAGTGTTTCAAGACTCTGAAGTGTTGTAGTAAAATCTTTTATCTACTTGTTTCAGTATTGATTCAGTAAAAACTTATTCATTTAGTAGGTTTCAAAAAAAACGCATGTGTAGTCTAGAATTTCCAAAAGAGCTCTGAAAAGGTTTAAAAATCTTTTTTTGGATGTAAAAGCAACAAGGAATTGGATATTAATTTACATTCAAGGGACGTTTTCTAATATTTGACCCCTTTTAATTCCATAATTACACCTAAGTCAGTGGTGTACAGAAAGAATGAATGAGAGATGGTATGTTTGCTCACTTTCTTTTTGTGTGGTAGGTGTAAAGGCAGCCTTGACTGTGAAGCCTGCCAGAACACCCTGAACATTGACCGCGTGTGTTCTCTCAGCAGTCCTGATAGCACTCTGAGTACTAGCTCCTCGGGACGGTCTAGTCCATCTCCTTGCAAGAGATCCAACAGGTAAAAAGCTGTACTCCTTTCAGTAAAAAGAAAGATCCTAGTATGCAGCAGACTCGATTTATAATAAAAAATGCGAAAGTTTTGTTATGTTGCCATCTGGTGAGGCTAAGTGATGTATTTAAAAATTAATTTATTGGCCTACAGTTGCACAGCATAGACTGTTCTTTTATTATTCCTAACAGATCTGTCTTGCTACATTGGAAGTTTTCAGAATACTGAATGAGTGGTGTTTACACAGAAAATACAAACATGTTACATGCAACTTCCTTTAGAACAAAAATCTTCTAAGGCTGCAAAATTAAGTAAGCCAAAGTAGGATGTGACAGATTTAAAGTTACCAGAACATCCTTAATTTTTGCACACCATTGTGTATCTTGTGTTGTAATCTTTAATGACATTGATGCCTTTTTTTTTTTGCTACCAAACATAAGCCTCACTTATGTGAACACTATTCACATAAGCAACTTTTAAATATTTTTGTCTTTACTGCTTGATGTCTAACTTAAGGCTTCATTTTTGCACATTGTTCGAAATTCACTCTTACAAAAACATTCAGCATAAATCTGAACTGGTTTATGGCATTTTTTTTCTACAGTACCTGAGAGCTTGACACTAAAGCATCTATCTGTGTGACACTCATAAAACACAGACCTGTGACGCAGTCAGAAGTTTCACTGACTTGGGATGTTCTGGCTGGGGCACCTGCAGATGGCTTTTCCTATTTCAGTCCCTGCCCTTCTGGTGCTAACATGTTGAAATTTTCATTGTAGCTACTTATGGCATTTCTACAGATCACATTCCTAGATATGAGTTCGTGGACAAGGAAACATTTGGCATATATAGTTGCTGGTATTGGTGAAAAGTTTGGTTTAATATGATTTACCCAATATCCCATGGAAATTCTGTGATCTAGGGATACAATGCATTTTTTTTCAAGCAACCTGTGGCTGCAATGAGCATGACCGATTCTTTTATTTTAATTCTACAGTTCACTTCCTATTTTCTGTGGAATAGCTTTCTGTATAGAAAAGAGCAATTCAAACTCGGAACAGTTTCATTGTGCAAAATGAATAAGATTGGAGTCTTAATAAAAAAAAGTTTGTTTAATTAAAGATTCTATCACAGCATGTATTGACAAGGAAGTGGAACTGCTAGTCTGTACAGGCAGTTTTATTTGTTTTAAATTTTGGACAGTCTGACTCGATGATGCTTTTAAAGGATAATTTATATAAATGATTCTGTTTATATAAACACAACCCCTCTCCCCTGAAAAAAAAGGGGGGGGGATATAAGAAAAGACTTGTGCATGAACAACTTCGACATCCATTTGATATTCTGTAAGGCCTGAAATCTTTGGATTCAATAAACAAATCTCTGCGGTATTGGACGCTAAATACACTGAAAGGTGTAGTGGGCTGTTATTCTCTGTACTGTCCAGGGCTGGGAAGGCGTATTCTAAGGAGGTGACGTGTATAGTCTGGTGAGTGCTGGGACTGGGGAAAGGTTTTAAGTTTACTCAAGCTGCAGCTTTTTAATCCAGTCACACGGGTGTTTGGGTGGATTAGTTTTCCATTATGTTACTAAACCGATCCAACTCATTCTGCAGACACAACTGCTAGATCCAACAACAAAAGTATAGTAATGGAGCACATGGATAGATTTTTCATTTTTTTAGTGTGACTTGATGTAGAAGATAATCCCAGACAAATTTCTGCCATTTCTGGGACTTTGGAGATACTAAAATAAAAAGTTGCCAAAGTTACATAGATGGATTATAAACCAGGTATATTTCCTTGGTCTTATTTTCAAGCATTTGTCATTTCTGACTGTGAAACGAGAATAACTAGAAGCATTTGAAGAATTTCTATTTGAGTAGTTCAATTTTAGTAAAAATTTAGGTAACGAGACATGTCGTATACTGGCAGGCATCAGGCAGTATTACTGGTTGATAGTTAACATTGTCCATCCTGCTTACGATATCCTTTAATAACAAAGCATTCAAAACTTCAGACAAGTTTTCATAAAGACCTGCTTGATTTTACAGTGTTTTCTTTGAATTGCAGGGAACTGACCTGTAATTCACTTCCCCTCTGTAATTCAACTTCGTGTCAATAGCAGAGGAGTGTGTCAGATTCTGGTTTCATTAGCGTTTCACTTATATTAAGTCATATAGTTAGTAACTTGAATCAAAAGTTAAGAATATAAAAATACAATTAATTGCTCAGTAGTTGTCACAGTATTGCTATTTGTTGCTTAAAAAACTTATTCAGAATTACCTGGCTCTGTTGACTACGACTTCAGGTTTTTGTGCTGGCCCTCATAGTGTCAAAGTACTTTTCACAAAAAAAAATTAAATTTTGTAAATTGTTTTATTTATATTGTCTTAATTTAATCACTATGCTATAAGGACCTGTTACATTAGCTATAAAATCACCAAAGGACTTGACCGTATGTTTAGGGGTTAGTGAGTTCAGTGCTGTTACTTGCATGTTTTAAGGTAAGCATGTATTCCACCAATTTTTAATATAAACCGGGGTTTTCATGTTTTTCTAGTTTATAGAAATTCTTAATTCTCACGCCTGTCCTCTCCAACCAGGAACTTTGTTAGCATCTCTAATTATTTATTCATCACCTCATACCGTTCATTTTAGCTCTGTTAAGTGAAGGATGTATCTTGCTATCTATATAATCCATACCTGCCACAGTCCCAGTTGAGGACTAGTTAAATTTCTTTTTCCTTGTGGTTAGTGATGGATTTGTGATGTACCTTTTGCTTGTGTAATAAATAATATGTAAATGATCTGGCAATATACCTCATCGTAAATTAGTTTTCTTTTCCAGGTTGTTTACTACTTGCTGCCTAAAAGGTATTTGATTCTGGTTCTGCTGATTGGACTGTGGTCTGGCTTCTGGCAGCTGGCATTTACTATCTTCTTAGCCCTTTTTTCTGATACAAAGCACTGAGCTTCAATACATGTTAGCAAAGGCTATTATTTTGAGTTGGTTTCTCCACCTCTTTCCCCTTCCAGCTGCCTTGATAAAAGCAGTGGTTGAATGAATGAGTTTGCGCCACTTGACCAGCATGGATTTCACAGACCACAAGTGCCAAAATAGCTGCGGTGTAAAAAGAGGGTTGCATTTGTCTCCTTAATCTAAATCTGTGAAAAAGAATCTATTGGTCACGCACAGGCAGTGCTCTCTGGAGGAGCTTCGGAGACCTAATTTTTCAGTAGATAAGGTCTAGTGTAGCTGCTGGTGGTTGATATGCAGATGAGAGGGAGCTGCCTGCCACTGTGCAGATTGCTTCCTCAGCGCGCTCTGTCCCATCCTGACTCTCACGGGCCCCAGGGACAGCTTTTCGCAGACTCTGGGATGTGGCTGATTTCTAGAAGAAAATTAGATCAGTATGTTCTCTTTTGCTAGTGTAATAACCATCAGGATACCTTTATGTTTTGATTCAGGAAGAAACAAAATAATCTTCTTCAACCTTTTATTTGTCCTAAAAATCTAAATTTCAGGTGGTTTATAAGTACAAGATTATTTAAAAAATAAATTACAAAGTGGGTGCAAGTTGGGTTAGACATCGAAGTCTTTATGTAGAAGTTACCTCCTTTCTCTGAGCCTTGCAATTTATGGGTAGAATGAGTCTGAATATTGAATTGCCATCTGAATGTCTTGTATAATTGAAATGTAATATTTTTATCCACCTTTGAGTAGTTTCACTTCCATAAATTTTATGTGGTAATTTAATAAAAGGCACCTATATTATGAAAATGTATTTGTTTCAATGCAATACTTTTATTTTTCGATAGCATGTCAGATGACGAACAGGAAAGTGGCTGTGATACGGTGGATGGTTCCCCAACTTCAGACTCTTCAGGACACGACAGCCCATTTGTGGAAAATGGCTTTGTAGCTAACACCAACAAAAATAAGGACGCAAGAGCATCGGTTAATCCTGAAACCAAATCAGCTGTTTGCACGGTAGTGGTACCACCGATGAGACTTGAAAACAGGTTACATCTTGATGGACAGATGGTGAATACCGGTAAGTTAGTTCAGGTGGTTTTTTTTCTTTCTATACCAGTAGATAAGAATAGAAATTTGAATATGTAGTCAATAGCCATATATATGAAGATTTTGACCTACTCATATATCTGCTAATCTGTAATAAACACTTCTAAATTGTGTTGGTTTTTTGAGACTTTAATTAGTGTATTATTTTATTATTTCTCCCTGCATGCTGAAGCAAATGAAACTTTGTCTAACTTTTGTTAGAAGAGAATAGTGACAACAAAAACATAACATTGTTCATTTATATCTTGGAAGATGCTACGTGCCAGCCACTGAAAAAAGGTCGGTCTGTCCTGGGAAGAATAAACCAGTCTTCTATTGTAGGAAACCGTCAGCAAAAACTGACATCAGCATTCCATCAGCAACATATAAACTTCAGTCAGGTATGTGCACTTACTAACATCTAAGAACTATTTTCTCTGTCTTGAGGTTCCAAACATGCTGAATGCTCACAATTTCAATTGCTGTAAATGGCAGCTGCAGGTTTTCCACAACTTGATTGCAGAAGTGTTCAAATCTTGAAAATGGATTTCAGCTTACTGGGCAAGTCATAAGTATCTTTCACTTTTGGTCATTTTCTTTAAAGCAGCTGACTTTATTTTTAAAAATGATAGAAAAGCCATACTGGGAAAATTATCAATGCCTACACAAAATCAAAGCACGAGACAAAATGAAAAATATGTTAGCGTATTTTTTTTCCTACATCCAAATGCTAAAATGCTCATAGTGTGCAGTTAAAAACTGGGGCTGTATTTCAGTCTTGTTCTGTTAGTAGTGTGCATGAAAGTGCTTGTAGTTTGAGTATCCAGAGGTGAGATAGAGCTTGGCAAAACCAACTGCTTCTTACCTTTGCTGCCAGGTAGTGAAGCTGGGTTGGGAAGAGGTGGTGATTGTAGTTCAATGCAATGTTGGAAGATACCCAAAGTTAATTTAAAAGCTACTTTTATCATTACCCAGCAACGTAGTAAATGTGTCTGCTGTGGCTGAGAACTGAAGTTGACACATGACATCAAGTTTAAGCCCCTTTTAATTAATTTTGAGCTGTAGCTGCATTGAGCTTCTGGTTAGATATCTGGAGGTACGTTTAATAGAAGAGCAGTACCTGTTATTGTATAAGTCTTGCAGAATAACTGTGAATATTAAATTGTAAGTTAAATACTAAATGCAAGCATGCTATATGTAGATAAGAGGATTTACCAATAATGACTTGAGTAGTTTAGATTGAAAGAAACATTTGGGTGGGTGACAATGATAATGCAGAAGGATTGGTTTAATTAATTCTAAGCAAACCTTAATATGATCAGCATAGTATTAATTTTTAATCTCTTCAATGACTGCAGCTCCTCAGCCTCTTGGCAGAAAGCGTAGAACGTTATTTTCATTACAAAAATTTATGCTGATCGTTCCTTCTTTGGTAGATGCCCTGTGTACTTTGAAGTCTGCATCATTTAATCAGAGTAATTGATTTTTAGTCCTTCTCTTTATAACTGTTAATGATTGCCGCATCTTCCTGTGATCATAGCCCTAGACTTCTGTTTGCCTAGTTGTCTCAGATATTTTCAAGCCGTTTATTATTTTTTCTGCTCTCCTCTAAAATTTCTCTCCTATTTGTCCTCTTTGTGCCTCATTATGGTGCCCAAACTGAATGCAGCACTTCCAATTGATGCCAAGCCAGTGCTGAGTAGAGTGGAATAAGCACCTTGCTCATGTGATACATGGTATTTCTGTTAAAACAGCCCAGCATGGCATTTTATCTTTTTTTTTCTTTTTTTTGCAAGAGCATTAAAATAACTTGTGTTCTGTTTACCATCTCTTATTGTCAGATTTTCTGTCTGTGCTACTATCTAAACAGCTAATATTTTTTTTGTTTAAGCATTTAATTATTCCTGTCTCTATATTTCTCTTGATTTTAAGTTGACTAGTTTTAGTGCATTATTCCATTTTTCAGACTCTCTTTATACTTAGAAATATTAAGAGCTGCTCATTTCTGTGTGTGGACAGGTTCAGCACTTTGGATCTGGGCCGCAGGAATGGAATGGAAACTACGCTCATCGGAGGCAGCAGGCTTACATCCCAGCCAGCGTTGCCGGTCATGCTTTCTCCCTTCCGCAAGGAAGTCCAAATCACACTACCGTGCACGCGCATCTCTCTGGAAGTACCCACCTTGGAGGACAGCCTGCTATTCTTCCGTACCCGTCGTCGGCACCCCTTAGTACTGCTGCACCTGTTGCCCACCTCCTTGCCTCGCCATGTACCTCAAGACCCTTGTTACAACATCCAACGTACAATATATCTCATCCCAGTGGTATAGTGCACCAAGTTCCAGTTGGCATAAATCCCCGTCTCTTACCTTCCCCAACCATCCCTCAGACTCAATACAAACCAATTTTCCCACCACATTCGTACATTGCAGCATCACCTGCTTACACAGGATTTCCATTGAGTCCAACAAAACTCAGCCAGTATCCATTTATGTGAGAACTCAAATACAGTATATTGAGGAATCTCAATGATACCGAAGTTTGATTTAAGAAGAAACATGGTATTTATTAAATATTAGCCATGGCACAACAGGAAAATTATTTTTTTGAATCATGTAGACTTGGGTGCAATTTAAACAACTCTGAGCTTTAAAAAAACTCACTTTTAATGTGTTTTGCACATTTGGTATAACTTGTCTTTGGTCATGTTACCTTCTTATATAGTAACTTTAGACAGGTGACTTATGGGAGCAGAAATCTGGTTTTGCTCCTGCTATTTTTTATAAAATTGCCTTCTAACTAGTGCAAGACACGTCTACATTTGGGAAGCCATTAAGTGTACAGAACTAGAGCAACAGATGCACATATGTCAGCAGTACAGTGTAGAAGTAACTTGTTTGTATTGCGTATCTTGGTGTTTAAATGTTGAGTCACTTATCTAAAAGTTGAGCTGTTGTTCTTCACATTGCATGTGTCTTTTGCATGGGCAAAAAAAAAAGCCTAAACATTGCTCTTAAATGTTGTTGTCCTAATAATCTCAGCTGCATTGTAAACTGTTCCCACACATAGTGCCTTAAATATTTGAGGTTGTTAATGTTATTACTTATATATAAATGTTGAGGACTGCAGCACTTAAAAATTCAGATCTGCTGATTTTTTGATAGCGTAATGCTCATTTTGGGTTTTGTGTGGTATGATTTTAGTATTGGGTGTGTTTTCCTTATCGAGAAGGCAGCATGTTTTGCTGTAGCCGAATTTTGCTGTCTTTTTTCCCCCAGAATGATCTACTTTAGTAGTGCTTAAGAAAAGTTGATTCAGTAGCTATTGAGTAGTGACACACAACACAGTATTTCATACTGGTAAATGGAACTGCAATACAACCTAAGTAGTTTATTTTAAAAGTGTTTGTCTAATTGGATATAATAAAATGTTTAGAGGTGCGGTAGGCATGACTGACTAGCTAACGAAAGAAAAAGCCAAGTGCTCATTGATCCATGATGTGGTTTCATCTTAGCTTGAGCAAACCATGCAGTATTTAATAACTAGTAGCAGAATATTTACTATTGAAGCTTGAAAAGATGTGAGTTCTTTGTGTGCAATCTTTCATTTATGCATGGGAGAGATTTTAGTCTTTTTACATTATAGTATTTGTTTTAGCCTGTTGCGGGTGTTTGCTTATTTAATACATTCCGTCAGGGACATAAATTACATGCTTTTTGCATTTTTTTTTTTCCTTAGGAAGTGTGTCTTTTTCGTTTTTTGTTTTGTTCAAATGAAGTTGCTTTTGCAGCACCAAAGACTTAATCATCCATTTCCTATAAAAGGTAGCTACTTTTTCATAGACCTCAAGTATACTGTAGTGTAGAGATGGGATTTACGGAAGGTATTAAGCTGAGGCTGTGTTTTAGCTTATGGGCAAGTAATAAATTGTATCATTTATCTTGAATGTATCATAGATAAGCTGCTATATAATGATTGCCACTTCAGATAGCTGTGAAATTAGGTGATTAACTAGTTCTTTCTTAGCCTTCTAATTTCTGTACAAGTCTAATTACATGAAATAGAAGCCGGGTTTGGGGTTTGTTTTCTGTTTGTTGGTGTTTTTTTTTTTTTTTTTTTAAAATTCTGTTTTCATGTTTGAAGTGTCGTAACTACTATACTGTAAATGATGGAAGATGATTGCATATGTTTTTTTGGGGTGTGTTATTTGCATCAGTATTTTATCTCCATTAACTTTGAGCTCATCACTGCATATAAGTGGATGTATTGATGTAACTTAATTTTTTAATGTTTTCATATTGGCATTGTGTAGACACTTAAGAAGCTGCATCTTGCAGGCTTGACTTAACTTTTTTTTAAAACAAAATCTGGAATACAATCCTTGCAATGTTGACTGGAATAAGAGTGCAAAGCATTTGAGTTTAACTCTGTCAATAAGCTAATAACTGGTAATCTTTTTCTTTACTCCACTAACACAAGCAGTGTTTTATTTAATGAATGTCTGAATGAAATAAATGTGCCTACATTTGATTTATTTTTAAGTAATAACTAAAATACAACAGTATTAGATCATAAAAAAATAATAAAAATACCAGCAGTACATTTTTAATCACACTGAAAATTAAGAATCCTAACCTTTCCCAGAAGTTTCAGTGTTTTTAGTAATCAACTCTATGCATTTTGTACAAGTGTGTGTATATAAAGTATACATTAGAAACTAGGAGTATCCTGATGAATTTGAGATCCTATCGACACATATATAAAGCCTAAATATAGGGAGTCAAGAAAATGCTCAAATTGGATATCCACCTTGCCACTTCAAACTTGTGCTATATGGTCCAGCAGATAGTTTTCTGTTCACTCCCTTGTGTTGGGAAGCGACGGTTTTTTTGGTGCTTACTCCATTGCAGGCAATGGACACACCAAGAATCACCAATGCAAATGGAGTAAATGAATTTTGTATTGTGATAACAAAAAAATACTGCATTTTTTTCTGGGGCCATGGGGATCTTCATTGGTCTAATGTATTTACTGTACTTTCTTTTTACTGTGCTTAAGGTTTTAAGCTAATATGCTTGTTAAATTGACACAATTATCTGTATATCACAACAGTATCATATCGTATGCAGGAAAATGTTGCTGTAAATGCGCCCCAAATTAGATCTGCTGCTCTTTCTATGTCTTGTAATTTTAGAAATGTCTGCATTTCAAAGAATGAAATATTTGGGATCCTGCCACAGCTTAAATTCAGTATATACCGGGTGACTTTTCCCCCATCCTGCAATACACTCTGAGAGAAGGGACTCTTGTCACTGCAAGTGTCCGGGGCCCATCTGCAGAAAAACAAGCTTTCAGGGCGAGGGCCTTTTCTGTGAAAAAAGTCATCCTCTGAGAAGCAGTTACACACGTTACCGTTTTAATGCCTTTTTTAAATAAAACACTGCATGACTACAGAATTGCATATCTGCATATTACTTTAATTTGCAAGATTTTATATGAATTTCTTGTGTTCGGTTTTTAACTTTACTTCAGGGTGTTTTATTGGTCAAATATGCTACTGTATTAACTTTTTTGGTTTTAATTTTTAAATTTTCTGTTTTTACTGCTAATTAACTTGATTTGTGTTAAGTAAAAGTTAAATCACACTGCAAGCTGTAGGAAGACTTGTTCTAGAAATACCCAGTGATAGAGACTTGATTAATAAGTTTGAACTGTTACTGTTTAACAATTTGTAGACTTGTGGCTTTTTTTTGCTTTGGATTTCTATGCTACACTAGTTCGCCATGTAGCAATTGCACTGTGCAATATTACAATATGAGGACTGGGAAAATTTTTTATGGATGTAATGTCTCTTACAGTTTGCGATAGTATTTCTTTCTAGTTCTCAGTGATTTAAATGTGACCAAGCCTTCTGTACTTTGTCACAAAAAGCGGGTTTTCCAGGTGACTATTTTGGTGAGTGTCAAAATAAGAATTTATGGTGTATTACTGTCAAGATTCACTTTGAATTAAAATATATATTGCAGCAGATGACTTTTGGTGGCTTTCATTTTTTGCTGTGTTACATCAAGGCTGGATTAAGGTGAAGGCAATGAAAATTCATGGGAAGGGCTCTAAAATTCTGATATAATCATTTGACTAAGCCGCTCTTCTTTCTGAAATTTTAAATTTTATTAACTTTCAAGGTTTGCTTTTAGGATGATCTTAAGAATCTGCCTTTAATGTAGCCAAACCTTGAAGGTTTTTTTGTTCTGGTTGTCCTACTTTTGCAATCTTAGGACAAGGTTATCTGGCCCAGATACCAGCAGATACATCGCTGCTGCTGAAGTTCGTGCCCAGCCGGTGGCAGCTGCTGCTTGGCCAGCAGGAAGGTGCTCCCGCTGCCGCAGGTGGCCCCACGCGGTCCGTGACTCCAGATGGCCAGCCTGGTATGGACCAGACGCCCGTGGAAGGCACATTTGCCCATGCTGTTGCCAGCCAAATGTGCTCATTCTGCCATGGGGTTACGGTGCTTACTGAAATCTAGTGGTTTGGAAGCAGTCACGAAGCAGGCTATATGCATATTTATGAAGTAGCATGGTTTCTGTGCTTAACATCGCATTTAAGGTGCTGTCGTAAATGAAACGTAAAAGACTGAAATGACAGTGCAATATATTTTTGATGCCGAACTATTTCAGAATTGACAGAAAGCTTTACTTAGCTAAATAGGAGGTGCTGGTGTTACTGGTCTTTCACAGCTGCTGGCTCCTCAATGCAAGATGGTCATAGTGTCTGCAAAGCTCGTCCTGCAGCACTGCGCCTCAGGCTGCATGAAAACGCATCTGCCCGAACGCTGCAGACACCTCTGTCGCTATGAAAGCTGCTTCCTTTTCGTTCTTTACCGTTAGGCTTGTGTATTGGTGACTTTTAAAAGTGCATTGGTGTTGGTGTCTATAGCCATCATTTCCCATAGAAAATAGGGCCGCTATCTTGCTGTGTTTTACACTCTTGATTTTAGAAACATCTAGCAAACAAGGAAAGGCAGCCTGAGCCTTTCAGAGGGAATACGCTGTCTCTAAAGTCCTTTCTGTTCTTGCTTTCTATTAGCAGTAATATCTGACTGTTCCCATGCTCTTTCCCGTCCTGTGGAAAGATAGGACTAGGACAGACAATTAGGAGTAAGTAATCTTCCTCTCGGCTGTCTTCAGGATGACTGATACTGGTTTAAAATTTGCAGAGTATTTCCCCTGTCACTAACTGCAAAGGACAAATATGTACTGCAGTTGTGATGGCAGATTCATTCAAGGAAAAGCTTTGAGAGTCAACGGAGCTGTCACATGCTACAGATCTGTAGGGGGACAAACTGGTTCAGGATGATGCAACGTTTTCTCAATGAATTAGCTTAGGTTTTCAGCTGGGGAGATGGTCAGTCTCTGGGAGGCAACAGAGAAGCTACTGTTTGGTACCATTCACAAAGCAGTACAGCCCTGACAATGGTGGTAGGTTCACGTTAATCGGCGCAACTCGCGCATACAGTGACTGCAGCGCCCGTAATGAAGTGAGGCAGTGTGAGTCAGTTTTCGTAGGGTTGTGAAACACTTCTGCTCCCCGCTAAAAGGGCTGTGACTTCCTTACAGGCCTGTAACGCGTGGCTTGTGCGGCACGGAGCTCAGAACGCTGGAGAAATGCTGTAGCCCTTCCTGCCGCTCTTGCCACGCTGAACGACACCGTGGCTTAAATGGTCAGTCTGACACCCATGAGATCCTGCTCTGCAGGAAGGCGTATTACATTGTGGATAAGACTTGGTGGGGATTGATGTTAATTATATCTTCCCACTTCTCACCTGTAAGAAGGTGCATTTTATCTCGTAGGAGTGTTGGGTTCGTGCTCTAAGCAGATTCAGGTAATTCTAGCTGCCCCTCTCTTGGGAAGCAGCGCCGACTATTCCGTGTTAGAACAATGAAGCTTCTGCTGAGAGGCCGAAATACGCATTTGAATGGATTCTTCTCCTTACATCCTGAAGTAGCAGGTTGGGAGCATCTACACCCTGTTTGTAGAGATGCCGGGAGACTGAACTCTGTTCTGTGGTTGTGCCTGCAGAGTGAGATGTTCATAAATTTGGCCTATTTATTCATCAAAATGAAAAATGCCAACTGTTGGGTTGCAAAGAGGGAGACCGTGGCCTGCCACCTGCTTCATGGAGAAGTCGCTGCACAGCCACTGGTCTCTTCTCACCTGTGAATGAGATTCTCATCTACGGGTTCCTTCATAAAGACAAGCAAGACTCAAAATGGTTGTGGTAGGTCTACTGCAAGCAAGGCAATCTTGGATCTAGGTTTTACTTCTCATTTCAACCAAGGTCATACAAATGATGTCAACCTCTTGCTCTGGGGCAAGGGTTGGAGAATCCATGCAAACATGAATTTTCCTCTCTGTGCATATGGCTTATTGTTACGTAGCGTGGTAGAGCAGTACTCTTCCCCAGCAAGAGACATACTGGTCCTATGCAGAAATACTCTATATGTCTCCTTAGCCAACTGGAGTGGATCTTCACTGGCATGGAGCATCTTGATTCTTTATCCATAATAAGACATCTCTTCTAGAATCTGAACTACTTTCTAGCATTAAGGATTCCACAGCTGAGAGGAAACCAGGTTACAAGTATGTACACTCCGCCTCCCTGTCCCACAGTCACGGCAGGGAATACGTGGGCAACACGCGTGTGCTGCTTGCAAAAATTAAAAAAAAAGTACCTGATATGAAGTGTACAGAGCACGTGCACACGCTAGGAGAACACGTATGCGGAAAAGCAAACCTCGGAACCAAGTATGGATGCACAGATACCCCCCAGAGGTTGAAATTATCTTTCTGGACAATGAAGACAAATAGAATTGGGAAAGGTAAGTTTAGGAAGTAGCTAACTACAGTTACTTGGGGAAAGTGATTTTTCACTAGCTGTAAGAGATCCTATCCAGGAATCATTCTGGAAAATACACATTTTAAAAATCCTTTGAAATAACAGCTAAATCTGCTAGGAAAAAATATACTTGTATTATATACAAAATACATATGCACACGTATATACTGTATAATGGAAAATTGAGAGATGACTGTAATGGTTAAGAGCTAGATCAGGAAAAAGCACTGTGTCAAAATTAAGTTAATGATGGATCTATTACAAAGATTGTGTTATGACAAAACCTAGAAAAATATGAAAATAATGAAACGGGTTTCACACAGGACTCCCTAAAGGTAAAAAAAGGTACCACCAGAGGGCCCTGCACTAAATACGCTGGCCCTAAATAAACGGGAGTGATGAGTAAGCTATCCATTTTACTATAATAATCATACAACTGCCATCTTCTTTGTGGCTAATCATTAGTAGTCATCATGTGAAAGCTAGTTTTGCATAGAATGAATTAGTGATTTGAGGAAAAAGTGAGTAAAATGGCACAAATGGGACGTGTTAGCAGCCAAGTAATGGTATTGGTGACGTTCTGAGTGTGCTAAGCTAGTCAGATAAATACGTTATTATGGGTCATCAGGACTCTGGGGATGCTGTGAGTTGCTGGGTAGCGGGATGTAAAGCTGTGGCTCGCCCGTGCTGGGGCTTGCTCTACCTCAGACCTGACTTTTAAGAACTGATCAGAAAGAAGACTTCTTCCTTTCTGCTGGAATTGCTGGGAGGCCGGGGCAGCTTTCCTGCACATAAGCGATGCTGCGCCCTTTCAGAATCGGCTCTCGGGGTCCTGGAGCACGTTCTGCCGCCAGCCCACCTGCGCTTTGCTCCTCCTCCCCACCATCACTGTTGCCCACAGACATGGTCTGGGAACAAAACGAACCCAAGGAAGCAGTGCCAGGAAAGAAACGGTATTAGAATAAAGAATTCACATTACCTCTGCTGAAAATACTAATTAGGGGAAACACTAAATGAACTGCCAGGATGTCTGATCTGACTGTGACCGAGGCCGCTTCTGCCTCTTGGGGCTCACCTTCTCTGATCTCCATTACACATTTTACGTACCGGTTGGTCGCCTGGTGTACCTTTAAGCGTTGCAGAGCCAAACCTGTGTGCTTTGAAGCTCCCCTTTCAGCCTGGAGGTCTGAGCCTGGTCACGGGCAGGGAGGGAGCGACCAAGTGAGTG